TCAAAATACTTCAATTGGTACACGCAAGAAATAGGCTAATTCAGCAGCCTTTTGTTCAATTTCTCGTGGAGTCAAATTCTCGGCATGCTCCTCAGATTTACGGATTCGCAGGGGGCCTCATATATATATATATATATATATAAATTTTAATTGGTTACTTTATTTTAATCAATAAATACTGATATCTCATAATTAGTTATGATAAAAAACCGAAAATATAAATATATAAAAAATAACTACACATTCAAATTTGGTGGGAGTAGTTTCAAGTTGGAGTGTTAAAATTATTTTAAAATAAAAAAAATTAACTATAACAAAAAAACGAAAAAAGAAGAAGAAAAACTACCCATTCAAATCAATGAGTAGTTTCAAGTTGGAGTTTTAAAATAAAAAAATGAAACTAAAAAAATTACCATTTCAAATTAGAGAGTAGTTTCAAGTTGGAGTTTATAATTTTTTTAAAATAAAAAAACAAAAATAAAGCAATAAAAAACTTTTGATTCAAATTGTGGAGTAGTTTCTTTCTAATATTCTATATTCTATATATCTTCTATATATTATTAAAAGGAGAGAATAAAGCCCTCTCCTTATGCCAAGTGGTACCTAGAAAAAAACCTTATGGAATAATTAGTTAATAACAAAGAAATTATCTATTGAAAATTAACAAAGAAATTAACTACTAAAACATGGGGCAGAGTTGGTTTAGGTTAGTTAATTTCTTTATTTTATTTTTTAAAATCATTTTCTTTTTTATTTTTTGAAATAAAAAGTATATCTATTCATTAAAATTCAAACAATATTATTGAGAAAAATATAATAAAATTTAAAATAAAAAATTAATATTTTCAAGAGTAATAAAATGTATATCTTCTATTATATTACAAAAAAAATAGCAGACAAAAATATTAAACAAGTAATATGCTAATAATCTATATATATATTATTAAAAGCCAAAGAAAAAGGCACCACATTAATACAAGTGGTAGCCTAGATAAAAGCCACATGACATAATAGTTAAATACTAAAAAATTATTTATTGGAAATTAACAAAGAAATTAACTACTCAAATATCGGTGAGGCTTGGGTATATCGTATTGACAAATAAAATGACAATTAAAATTTATTAAAGCAATACGGTCTAATAGTATCAAACAAGAATGATTATAATTTAATTTTTTCTTTTTAATATTGACCGCGCATCGCGCGAGTACGACTGCTAGTAAAAATAAAAGTACTAGAATTCTTTTATATTTTCTATATTAGAAATTCTCTAAATTTTTTACTCGCACAAAAATCTCAGATAGCATTGAATGACTCTGAGAAGGCATACGACCCAAAGTAAATATACTAGCATGACTAAAACATATTTTCAACTAATTGTTATCTCGATATAGATCTTTTTCTAATTGTACCCTATCTTTTGCTATGTCTGCATGGATTCCAAGAGATTGTTTCTGAGACAACTTCTTTCAATGTGATTTTAGGCCTATATCTTCTAATTTAACACCTGAATTGGCCATGGTTTTCACTTACGGACAGTGCATCTGAAGGTCGACGTAAGACATGACTAAATCATCTCAAGCATCTTTTTTCATCTTCAGAAAGAACCTGATTTCCGACTTCTTGCATTGCATTTCCATAACGAAAAGAAAAAAGAATTAAAAAAAAAAAGAGATTGCTCTTGTGACTCGAGTGACTGTAACTCCTTTGGTTTACAGTCAATAGTTCTTAACCAACACTTTTTTTTTAATTATTAATTAATTTATTATTATATTATATCTTTCTTTCTGAGGGCTTGCGGTTTATTACACCATTTTCTTTTATTGTATCCAATATGTGCTATTTTCACCTTTTGGCGAATATGATCGTTTTTAATTCAATCATTTTACATTTATAAAAAATGTAAGATGCACACTTTGTAGAATAGTACTGCTTTGCTAAATGGAGCAATAAGATTGAATTTGTCAAGGCCAGAAGGCTACCTACTTCCCCATTAGAAAATCTCTGAAAAGTTTAATTTTACTTGTAGCTTGGAATCCATATAATCACAGACATAGAACATTTAGCTAAAGATTAAACATAAAAAAGACCAAACCTACATACTTATCTTCATGTCATGGATTTCATTAGTATAAATATATCCATCTTTTTCCGTTGGTAACAGTTGTTGAGCAATCATTAGTATAAATGTATCCATCCTTTTCATTAGAAGTTGAGTCTAGGAGCAACAGTAAAGTTGTCTGCATGTGATCTATAGGCAGTGGCGGAGCCAGAATTTTCATTAAGGGGAGTCAAAATATAAAGAAATAAACTCACCAAGAAGTCAAGGGGTGTCATTATATAGTATATATAAATATTTTTTTTTTTAAAATTACGGAACTAAACAGTGTAATTTTCTGACGAAGGCGTGTCGGTTGACCCCCCTGTGTGCATGTGGCTCCGCCACTGCCTATAGGTCACGGGTTCAAGCCGTGGAAGCAACTAATAATTCTTGCATTAGGGGAGGTTGTCTACAATATATCGCACCTCTTAGGGTGCTGCCCTTTCTCGAACCCCTCCGTGAATGTGGAATGCTTTGTGTACCGGGCTGTCCAATAGTTGTTGAGCAAATCGTTCGTTAAACCATCAGTTTCGGACACGTATATCTCTCTATTTTGTTATTATTAAGAGACTGAGAAATGTGTTGACTTGCTTATATTATTAATCAAAACATATGCAGTGGAAATTATAAAAGATACTAACGACTTTTTACTTAGTACATTGTCTTCAGGAATAGAACAGTTGAGCAGAGAAAATGGGGTTGTTGACAAACATAGTAGAGAGGAGTGAGATCAAACCAGGAGACCATATTTACACGTACAGAACTGCCTTTGCTTACACAAACCATGGTAAAATTCATAATAGGCTGCTGCTGTAATCTTGATTTTTAACGTTTCATTTGGTTTTGACAGTCAAGATTTGTCTTTTCTCATAGAATAGGCGCTCGTGATATGTTTTCATTGTTTTATTTGATTTTTTGGCGCTCAAGTTGGCAACATTTTACCTGCATGAGGGATTTACTTGTTTATATATTGTTCCATTATATCTTTTAGGTCCCGACTTGATCTCGGTGGTTAGGCCACCACGCCCTTAAAGTCTAGACGCGATGGTTTTGAGGAATGAGTAGCTTAATTTATATGTATGGAGGTTCATATATGCTATGTTGCTTGGAGCCTTGGATTCTCCAAAAATGTCGTTGCGCCCGTGTTGGATACTCCAAAAATACTCTACTTTTGGAGGATCCAACACGCACTGTGGTGTTTTTGAAGAGTCGAAGCAAACGTAGCATATGTGTATAAAGGCTTGAATTAATGGCTTGTGTGTGATTTTATCCAAATAATATTGAATTCAGTAGAAGTTACCTGCATCAGGATGACAAATTTTCATGATTGAGCAATGAGTAGCTCACTTGTATCTATAGAGGTTAATATGTATATCTGGCTTAAATTGATGTCTTGCATGGGAATTTTGATATAGTTATGCCCTGAGCACCTTACTTTTTATGTATGGAGGTTCATATGTGTACAACAACAACATGCGTTGGTCCCAAACAAGTTGGGATCGGCGATATGAATTAAGTACTTTCATTGGCTTTCAATTTATATAGGTCGTGTACTACATCTGAAAACATGAAACTCATTTAGTTAGACACTGAAGGCTGATTAAAGTAACACGATTAAGAATGCGAGAGTCCACTTCCTCTTATAAGTGCAGCCTTAAGCTATGATTTTAATTAAGCACTGTTGCTCTACCTCTCTACTTTCTCAGGGTAGGGGTAAGGTCTGCGTACACATCACCGTTCCCAAACTCCACTTGTGGGATTCCACTGGGTCTGTTGTTGTTGTTGTTATTGTTGCTCTACCACGTACTTTTCTATCCTTCTTGTGGTACAATAAAACCTATGTATGACTCCTCTATGTATTAAATCTTCTGAAAATATGGTATTCATAGGTATTTTTGTTGGTGGAAGCAAAGTGGTCCATTTTCACAATGTCGAGGCCTCTGCCTCTGCCTCTGCCTCTTCTGATGCTGACATTTTTTCATCATGTCCAACTTTTCCTGATTGTGGATTTAAGCTACCTAACAGTGGCGTCGTTCTGTCTTGTCTGGATTGCTTTTTGCGCAACGATTCACTCCGCAGATTCGAATATGGAGTTAGCTCACCTGTTTTTCTTGCCCAAGTAAGAGGGGGAACTTGTTCTACTGCAGTGTCGGACCCTCCAGAGACGGTCCAACACCGCGCAATGTATCTACTTCAGAAGGGATTTGGGAACTATCTTGTGTTCAAAAACAATTGTGAAGACTTTGCATTGTACTGTAAAACAGGACTTTTGACAGTTGATAGACTCGGTGTTGGAGGTAGCGGACAAGCTTCTTCTTCTGTCGTTGGCGCTCCTCCTTTAGCTGCACTACTTTCCTCCCCTCTGAAGCTGCTAATTCCTCCCGTTGGTGTGGCTACAGTAACGACGGGGATGTATTTTATGAACAGATATAAAACTGATTTTGGTGTTCGAAAAGATGTTGTCAAAGTAGCAGTTGAAGAACTTGCATTGAAGCTTGGCTTTGGTAGCAGCAACGAAAGAGCGATTGCAGAACATGTGGCGTCTAATTCGGGAACTGCTAGATGACATCAGTACTCTTATTACATATAAAATGTTCTTCATATTGTACATTTAGGATGAAACAGAAACTGCCTTTTGGTTATTTACGCTACTAGAAATCCGGATAAAAGCGACCAAAACTTAGCGACCAAAGTTGGTCTGTGAGAAAAAGCGACCAAAGTTGGTCGCTAAACTAGCGAAAATAATAAAATAAATAAAAGAAACACAATAGCGACCAAGATTGGTCGCCAATTGGTCGTTATAATAGTCAAAATGTTGACTGGACTGGTCAGACTTTCTTGGTCAAACATTTACTGAGATTAGTGACCAATGTTGGTCACTCGCGTGGGACCCACTATTATTATTTTAAAAAAATTATAAAATATAAATATATATAATATAAAAATGGCGACCAACGTTGGTTGCTAACTAAAGGGTAGGCAGGTAGCGACCAACTCTGCTCGCTCCAATGGGACCCAGTTATACAATTTTAATAATTATATTATTAATTTAAATATTATATGAAATATAATTAAATCTGATTTAAATATAGCGACCAGCTTTGGTCGCTAAATTAAATTCTTGAAAAAATAGCGACCAGAGTTGGTCTCCATTCAGGTCAACAATGGTCAAAATTAAAAATCACTTTTGTATTTACTATCTAAATAATATAAATTGTAAGTTTAATATTTTTGATAATACAAGGACATGAATAGACTACGAATCGTGCATCGTCTGTAGTCTACTATATAATATATATTATATATATATATATATATATATATATATACTTATATATATATTATATATTACACTTACGTCTATATTATGCACCCTAAGTATAAGTGTATTAGGTTAATACTGTATCGAATATAAGCTTTTATATATATATATATATATATACACTTACGCTTATATATATTAAATTGAATTAAAATAAATTAAAGATATAGCGACCAATGTTGGTCGCCATTATGGTCAAACGGTTCAGAAATTGGCGACCAACTTTTGGGTCGCCTATTTGGTCAAAATAGTCAATACACATTGGGATTACCAAAAATTAGCGACCAACGTTGGTCGCTTTTTTTAAAAAACAGAGTGTAAAAAAACGGGTTTCCCTCCCATTTCTCTTATTTTCTTCAAAACATTTCCCCAACTCCTTCTCTTCTCTCTCCTCCACTCTCAACACCCCCTCCCTTCCGTCTCCCTCCAGCAGCGGCGCCACCGCTTCCACTTGACGGCCCGCCGGTGGCAGCTGCTCCACCTGCAGTGCCTCCACTGTCCAGGTATGGTTTCTCTCTCCTTTCTTTGTTTTTTTCGAAATACATGATTTTGTTTTAATTCCTTCTAGGTTTGATTTTGTAAAATAATTGTCTAGCTAAATTTAAATCTATGATAATTGTTAGTAGCTACTAATTTAGTTTTACTTACTAATTTGGGCGATGAAAATGGTGTTAGAAGACAAGAACCCTAAACTTTTAGGGTTTATGTATTTTTCTTGTGGAATGTATAACCCTAAACTTTGAATTATAACCTTGAATCTTTGATATTGTCTTGAACCTCTTAGGATATGAATTGAACCTTTTTAAGGATATGAGCTTGAACATTTTAAAGATATGAGAGTGAAGCTTTTTATTGTATGAGTCTATAAATTCTTTAGGATATGAATTGACCTTTAGGATATGAGTTGAATTGTAGGATATAAAAGTGAACCCTTAGCATAATTTTGTTATTGAACCTTTAGCATATGCAATGAACCTTTTTAGATATGAGTTGACTTTTAGGGAATAAAGTGAAGCTTTTATGTATGAGTTTGAATTTTTAGGATATGAATTGAACCTTTTAGGATATGAGTGAACTTTAGGATACTTAGAATTATGAATGAAACTTTTATCGTATTGATGATTGAATTTTTAGGATATGAATGAACCTTTAGATCATGAGTTGAACTTTAGGATATGAAGTGAAGCTTTTATGTATTTGAGTTGAATTTTTTATGGATATGAATTGAACCTTTTAGGATTTATGAGAATGAACTTGTAGGCATATTAAAGTGAACATTTTTGGTTGACTGTTTAGCGAATAAATTTGAATGTTGAACCTTTTAGGATATGAGTTGGAACTTTTAAGGATATAAAGTGAAGCTTTAGATATGTTATCTGAATTTTGGATATGAATTGAAACCTTTTAGGATATGAGTTTGAACTTTTAGGGATATAAGTTGAAGCTTTTATGTCATGAGTTGAATTTTTAGGATATGAATTTGAAAACCTTTTAGGATATGAGTTGAACTTGTAGGATTATAAAGTGAATCTTTTAGTTATGAGTTGAATTTTTTAGGATATGAATCGCAACGCTTTTAGGATATGAGTTTGAAACTTGTAGGATAATAAATTGAACACCTTTTAGCATATATGTATTGAACCTTTAGTTTATGGTTTAATCTCGTAGAGATATGATATAACTTTTAGGGATCATAAAGTGAAGCTTGTAATGTATGAGTGAATTTTTAGGATATGAATATGAAACCTTTCAGTGGATTATGAGTTAGAACTTTTATGGATATAAATTGAGACCTTTAGCATATGTGTATTGAACCATTTAGCATGATGTATTGAACACCTTTAGGCATTATGTACTTACCTTAGTTATGGTTTAATCTCGTAGGGATATGAATATTAACTTTTAGGTTTTTAGGTTTGTTCTTGTAGAAGAGGTTCGATGACGTTATTAGGACATCGCAAAGGAACTTCCACCAAGAATAACTAAGACACAAGTACCTGGTGAAAATGTGCCTTTATTTGTTCTTCTCATTTAAGTGACATATGAGTGTGAGAAGGCAATGGCCACTGTGTTTTAAAATAGTGATGGTGTGAGGTAGGAATTTAACTATTCCTAGTAGATAAAGAAGAGGCTCTATAGGGAATTCTTACTTCATTTCCATGAGGGAAGAAAAGTTTAAATGAGCGAGTTAAAGATGATGAAGGACGGATGGGTGTTCCAGTTTTGGTGCATGGTAGTTCCCATAAAACGGGATCATGACACTCTATGAGACAAAGACTTATAGGAAGTTTTGTACTTCAACTTTTCTTTCGAGTCTGATCGTGTTACAAGCTTGTACGATCAGACTTGGCAAGAGAAAGTATGAGCACCAAAAACTTTCCTATGATCTTGTGGTTCATCAATACGAGTGCTTATGTCACGTCTTTATTGGAACTGCGACGACCAAACGGAAAACCTTTCCGATCTTCATCGACCTTGTCACTATTCAATCAAACTCTTTTCCTCTTGGAAAGTGAAGTAGGAGAATTTCTCTATAACCTCTATTTATCTACTTAGGAAATGTTTAAATCCTACCTAACACCATCACTATTTTGAAATACATGTCCGTCTGCCTATTCAATTATCACTTGTGTAGCTCAATTGAGATTTCAACAAATTGATTCAAAGACACACTCATGCCAGGCTACTGTATCCAAAGTTATTCTCCTGTTATCAAAGCCACCAGACAAGCATTTAATGATGCCAATTGAAACAAGGAGGGTCGAGCTCGTCGACTACATACAATGTTAAGTTTTTTAACTTTCTATAAAGTATTTTGATTTGACTTTATATTTGATAGAATTTCTCTGATCATAGAAACCTTAATATATGACAATATTGTATGATGACTTTGTTTATTCCGATTTGATGTTAATTGATTTTTGATTATGTTGACTTTATGTAATTATGATTTGGAATTTCTAGTTTGTAATTGGAATTTTTAGACTCATAGTTCGACCTTAGGATGTTTAAGATTGGTAGTGATGATGTTTGTAATTGCGATTAGAGTGAGTGATACTTAACATGCAAAGGAACTTTCCATACAGAGAATAAACTAAACACAGTTATCTGGCAGAGTGGTGCCTTTAACTTTCTTTCTCATTGCGACAACGATGTGAGAACAGGTGCAAGAACACATGTTTTCAAATAGGTGTATGGTGTAGGTAGGAGTTTAACATTTCCTAATTACGACTAAAAGAAGAGGTATAGAGGTCTAACTCGCTTATCATTCTATACTTCCAACTTTCCAAGAGGAAAATGGCAGTCTAATTTCGGGTAGTGACAAGGGTTGATGTATGGCAATATACGTTGGATTTTTTTCCTTATGTTTCACCCACCCCCTTGTCCCCCCCCCCCCCACCCCCCCCTTGGCATTCCGCATAAAACGGGGACTCATAAGCATGACTTCTACTAGATGACAGAGAATTATAGGAAGTTTTTGTAATTTAACTTCTCTTCCAAGTCTCGTCCGTACAAGATTAGGGAATTGTGATATATTTCTATCGGATCAGAAGAAATATAATCATCCAATATCCCCATTAAGCTGTACGGAATCAGACTTGGGAAGAAAGTGAAGCAACAAAACTTCCTATAATCTTTGTCATCATAGAGTTCTTATGATCCCCGCTTTGAATGGGATAAGCCAAGCAATGACAAGCAGGAAACATCTCTCACTCACTCACTTCGACCCCTGTCCACTCTTCAATTAAAACTTTCTTTTCTCCTTGGGAAAATGAACGTATAGAGAATTCCTCTATAATCTTTCTTTTATCTACTTATGAGATAATGATTTAAAATTCCTGCCTATACACATCTCTAGTTGATACACATGTCATTGCCAGCAGTTTCAACCATTCTATTTGTCGAACTAACTGAGAACAACAATTGATCAAAAGACACACCCTGTCAGGCTCTACCGTGTTATGCCAAGTTTCTCTGTATTTTCCAAGTTCATCCACCGAGTCATATAAGTCACATTGAGGATAATACCCAAAAGCCATACCGGAACAGCTTTTATCGATTGCCCAGCATAATGCACAAGATGCGAGTTTTCTAAAGTTGCAAACTCGATATTGTAACAAAAGAAGACAAGAAGGAGACTAAATTCAGAAAGGTGGCGTCGAGGGTCGGACACGCGCCTCACTATACATGTAAGTTTATTTACTTATCATTAAGTATTTTGATTTACTTTTATATAAATTTTATGATTCATTAATCTCAACTATAATTTTTCTTATTAGGTTCGCTTCAGAGCTTGATGTAGGGGGAATTCATACGAAGTCAGCCACC